CATATGTACTCTGAAAGAAAAAAAATGCAAAAAAGTCTTTCAGTACTTAAGGTACTTTGATTTTCATGATCAATCTTGTTCTGATGCATTTTGGCACTCATAAGAGCTACACGTGTATCATAGACAAACCAACAGACGAACGAACACCGTACTCTCGATCATAAATTCATTGTGTTTATGTTCTGGCACAATTGTGATGGTGTTATAAAAATGTCATGAACTAAGTTAGTACCACATTAAACGTAAAGTCGTTGATTTTTAAAGAAATGATATCGAGATTTGCCAGAAGAAATATTATTCATCAATGACAAGAATTATTCAGCAATCGATTAATTGATTACATGTTGTTTAGCGTCCCTCTCGAGAATTTTTCACACGGAGAAGCCTCCACTCGCCGAAGGAGACTGTAAAATGTTGTACTATCGCCATTGAGCAGCGAGGAATCTTTTTGAGCCAGTACCATCTGACACACGGGACCTCGATTTAAACGATCTCATCTGACGGACCGGTCTCCACGTCCCACAACTGAAGTCCATTATACAGATATATGGTACTCTAGCCATGTTTTTATTTTATTTTTCATTACACAAATGTGTTGCATCAGATTTTCTTAAAGATCATACTTAATATAAAAATCATTTCGAACAACTTTATTGCAATGCATACAGCGTCCGGTGATTTTGATTGACAGGTCAGTACGTGTGCACTTAGTGTAATACTTCTTAAAAAATATACAGAGAGTGACTATGACGGACTATGAAATCAGAAAATATTTAATAAAGAATGGGTACAACTGATATAGAACTGATTTTTTGTCTATGTAAATGGATTAAAAGGGAATCTCTCTCTCTCTCTCTCTCTCTCAGACAGGTAAATTTCAGTATCTTGCGTTATGAAAAATCTACTATTATAGAATATGAATTCTGTATACATGTTAATGGTAATTATAACCAAATGTTCCAGATTTAATTGTATAACGAATTTGTAATTAAAAGGCCTATAGTTGCAATAATGTCTCCGAATAAAATCAAGAGGGGGGGGGGGGGCTTCAAAAGAATTACATACTCGGTAATTTTATGTTTTATGAATTAAAAGGAAAATACTTAAGGTTGCATGTACATACATTTAATTATATAGCATGGCATAAAATTGTGTTCATTCGTATACTTTATCTAACATATCAACAGACCTTTGCAGATGTTTTTGCATCATGTTTTAGCGTAGCATTATTTCACACAGAAACGCGTAACTTTAACATAATGTTAACCCTTTGAGTACTAGTATTTCACAAAAATCCAAGAATCGCTTTTTCTCATCTTTAATAACTTCTCGGGTATATAAAAGTATAGATCATGTATAATAAATAACATTATAAGACTATTAATCAATGAAATATACGTGTTAAAACCAAATCCAATCTATAGATTGCTTTTCTTTCTTTTAAGTTGCAGATATCAATTTATTTCTAAAGGCTTTACACCTACTCTTCTATCTCTCAGTTCCCTTTTGAGTACATATATTATTTTAGAATCGAAAATAAAACTCGAATTCCGGGATAATTTCGCATTCAAATTAGAGAATGAATTAAGAATATTTTTTAAAAATATAATCATAACAGACATTACAGATTTACACTACGCTGACAACTTTAAACTATGCATATACTGAAAGCAGTAACCAACGTAATCTTTCATGCAGAAGTGGATATGGAATCTCAAAGTCTACATATTTTTTTTTATGTGAAAAGTGTGGATATAGACGTCTGCGACGTCATGGATACTACCTCCGCCTTTATCTCGAAAGTTCTATTCCCACTTACAAGTCAGAGTTATCTATCTTTGCTCATTGTCACTACGTAAATAGAGAAAATGAATTTATTGAGGGAACCTTAAATCTCCAAAATGCAGAATCCGATTGAATAAATAATATGTTTAGTATTTTTGTAGAATAATTTGTATATACATCGCTGTAATGTATACTGCGTACAATATTATTTTCTTCAAAGTGCTTAGTTGACACAGAACGGATATTTTTTTTTAGATATAAATTTGTAAATCAAAAACTTTCAATATACAGACTAACACTACACAGCCAAATTTAAACTAATATGCATATAGTGAATTAAGTAACATGCAAAAGAGAGAATATTGAATGTGTAAATATGTTGACCTGGAGAGCGTATATATGTCTCCAACGTCATCAATACTATTTCCGCCTTTATCTCGAAAGTTCTATTCTCATTCACAGGTCAGAGTTATCTTTCTTTGCCCACCTTATACATACTACGTAAAGAGAGAAAATTTCGGAGAAAATATACAAAATGCGGAATCTGAATTAAAAACAAATTATATATTTAGTATTTGTAGAAAAATGTCTGTTTTACATAAGAATATCTTGAAAAAATATCTAAAAACAAAAAAATCAAAAATTGACTAAAAACAAATTCACTTCCGGTTCGGACAGGAAGTACTGGAAACACACGAAAACAACGTCAAAACAAATAGAATATCATGATCTAACACTCCTGTAAATTTCATATCTTTAAATCAAACCGTTTCCAAGAAAACTGCCGGACAAAAGTCCATTTTAAAATTCGAAAATCGGCCATAACTTCGGACCGGAAGTGAATTTTTCAAAAAACGGAATTTTATATAAACTTCATATATAAACCTACTTACATGAGAAAAATTGTGAAAATCTATCCAGCCATCTCTGAGTAATCGCGCTCACAAAATTTGGGAGGAATAATAATAATAATAATAATAATAATAAAAAGAAACAATACAAACACTATAAGTCTTCCGTTGTGAACGGAAGACTTAATAATAAGAAACAGAGTAAAAACAATATGTTCCCCAACTTCGTTTGGGGAACATAACAAGGAATATCATAAAATGACTTAACATTGATCTCTTTGCGCTCAGAATATGATGTACTAGTATTATTTTATTCATTTACTCCTCCGATTTATTTAGGGTTAGCTAACCATGCTTATGAACTATGATTTACCCTTTTTTGCACTGAAGCAGTACGTAAGCAGATGTGTTTTTAAGATGCCTTCAAACTTGAAGTTTTATTTGCTGAATGATTCTTTGAGGTAACACACATTATACAGACGAGATTGTACGGTCAATTTCACAGGGTTGTCATGTACAGACTAAATATATTGTTTGAAGTGTTTGGCCCAATTCTTAATTCATATTAACTGTATGCTTTGTTTAAAACAATATTAGTTTTAAAACTTAAGATAAAAAGTCTGTGTATTGATCAATGCCCATCCTTATGACGTTTATGATGAATTATAAAGGGCTATGACTGTCATAGCCATTATAAAGGCATGTTTCTTGCGAGTCCTATACTGTACATCTGCATCTCCTTATAGGTTTGCCCCCCCCCCCTCCCCCCTTCCCGGTCCTAACAATTGAGGCAGAAGTAACTAAATAATTAACAAAAAAACGTAACTGATTTCTATGCTTCAAAGTACATTGGTCAATATAGCCTAAAATTTTACAGAGATTCGGAATACAATCTAAAATATGCTCAAAATGATTAAAGAAAGGTAAATAAATACACACATTATGCGATTCAGTTTCGAATTAAGAAAGAAATAATCATCAAAATATTTCAAGAAAAAAATATATCATTTAAAATGCATGTTTTTGAATGCTTGTTCATTTATTACAACTTCAAATAAGATCACTGTGTAAAAGGCACCTAAATCTATGTGAATTCAAGTGAGTATACCTATAAGAAAAAAATTATGCGAACCAACTACAAAATGTAGTACACGAGGAAAAATGAATAGCAACGAAGCTTTTCTAAGTAATGATTATTATAAATTTATTGTGGGAACGACAATGTGTTGTTACAGTATGTCTTTAATGTAGATGACGAATACCTTTCGATTATTTTGCGCAATATTAAACTGCGCTTTAGCATCATCTTGAATATATTAATAGAGATCAAAGGAATAGTTTTGTTATGATTTTCTCAACTTAGGTTACATAAATGTGACAGAGCAGTTTTAAACAAGTCATCAATGAATTGAGAATTCACCACCATATATATATATTTTCCACTAAATACATGCATAGTTCAAGAAGTGATTTATTTCATCTGTACCTTTCGTTTAAAATGAATTAGATAAGCTCATTATTTACACTTTTATGCAATAAAAATTTCTCAATGTTCAAAATCATTTTCATTTAGCATATAGAGGGCCATTTAAGCCTTCTGTAAAGATTTTAAATTAGAAATTAGCTCTCATCTTTAATCAAATGTACATAAGGTATACTGTACAGTAGTGGATTTCACAGTTTAAGGGGACCCACCTGGCGCTAGCTGCAGAAGTGTAGCGTTATGGTTTTATATATGTCTTTGGTCAAAGTGTAAAAAATAAAACCATAATGTAACAGTTCTGCAGCTAACCCTGTGCCCTCTAAAATTGTCAAAGAAACCATTCAAGAGACTTTCATCCGACAAAATCACGTACATATGATATTAGTGAAAGCTATTCAACTTCACCAAATACTTTTGACTTCAAACTTTCCTGTGACTGAGGATGCTTCCATGTGAAAATGATAAATCATGACTGCTGTTATAGAAAAAAAAAAGAAAATTATTTTTTTTTTATGTATTCTCTTTGTTAAACTCCCATAGTGGGTCGTCCTACCCCGGGAGTAAATCGACACTCAGGTGAGCCAAAATGCTATTAAGTTAGTTGACAAATGTATGTGAGGACCATCTGCTCTTTGAATCATATTTCAGGGAAAAAGATAATTCAAACTGAAACATGGAATTACGTATCATGCCTTGTTTACTAAAGCATCTTATTTCATTGAAATGGAGTCCTGTCTGAAAATTGTCCACAAATACTTTTTAATACTCACACAGTACCACTGCATGAAGCTGATTAAGCTTTTTGACTCGTTCAGCTTAAAAACAACTTTAACTTTTTTGTTCAATCTTAATAACCAGTTAAACACAATTAAATCAACACAATAAATATAAGAATTTTTAATAGCATATTCTTATGAAAAATTTCATACACTGCATTCTGGTATATACCAGTATATAACTGGGAAATTATCACATTAAAGCTTTTTCTAGTATGCTGGAAAAAGAAATGAAAGTGTGGGTACAATGGGTTCATATGAGATGAAATCTTAAAAGCACAATACCATGTTACATGTATATACAGGCAATTATTGTATATAAGAATGTAATTTGAATGCGATATGACTGCAAAGCTTTTGCTAACATTTTCATTTAATTTATCTGTAAACTATTTTCACTGATTTTTTTTACTAAGTACATCAAGAATGAACTTACAGTTTGAAAATTATACATATATACCTATTGAAAGGAAAAAAAAAATCTGTATCACATCTTATTTTTTTCTTTTCAGTAACACGTATTGAGAATCTGATAAATATACCTTTATAAAATTTCTTAACTCAATGGGAAAAAAAAGAAGAAAAGAAACTCAAATATTAAAATTACAGTTTTATAACTTTGTTAATGAAAATCAAAATAAAGCAGGGTCTTAAACCAAAACACATTCAAAAAGAGACTTGGTAAAGTATAGAATTTGAAACTGTCTTGTAATGACAAAATGACCAGTGTGTAATGAGTGGCTAAACATGTCCCCCATTTAAAATAAAAGCGATATGACTTATGAATCATGAATATGAAATTTTTAACCTCTTAATTGGCCTCGGCACGATCTACAATATATGTATATACAATTATACCGGTACATCCCCTGACCTGCAAGGGCAGTAGGTTAAAAAAGACAGCATTTGATATAAAATATGATAAATTACTGTAAACTTAATTTTCCCCTGGGGTCATAATTCTGTTGATTCACTATTTCAGTTCAATCTGCTGGGAAAAAAATCAAGCAGAGATACTGAATTGCCTTGAATGCACCTTATGTACACTGCGACATACTTCTGCATAAAATTTGTGACTGCATACAAAGCATGAATTAATCCCACAAAAAGATAGTTGTATACAGTATTACAGTTGTTTCCCTTATTCAAATGTGAAAAGTGTTCAAAAAATAAAAATGGAAGACACCTTGACATTTTTAAAAATGTATCAATGTGTATGAATATATAGTTACATATAAATTTACATATAATATATATATGTTAATAAAACTGCATAAAAATTACACAAGGCTATATGAAAAAAATATACTTATATAATAAATGAAATATATATTCTAAAAGGTAAAAAAATAAGTTCAAATCACCTGATTACCAGTGCAAATTTAACTCATAATTGCTGGACACATTCATGGATACTTGATTTTCATGAATTGAAAAAGACAGATCTAAATTTAACACTATTAATTCTGTAAAAATTCTGCTCTTTTTTTTCAAGAATCAAATTTCCTAATCTTTCTAAACAGTCGAAGATGATTCCATTCCACAAAAATACCAGCATGTAAAAAGCAAAGCATGTAGATCTATGGAAGATCTGATATTGGTTCGGAGTTCAAAATCTTTTCATATAGGGTTTCCTGTTAGTTCAGGACCAGGTTGTGATGTAGCTGGCTTTGCTGTTTGTTCAGGTTCTGATGAAGGTTCAGGTTCTGATGATGGTTCAGGTTCTGATGATGGCTCAGGTTGATTGGCTCAGGTTACTAACTGGTGTTGTTTTTACTGTGGGATATGTTTCATTATACCTTGGTGCTGGATTTGTGGGATATGTTTCATTATACCTTGGTGATGAAGTTGACGCAGGATTTGTTTCATTATAGCTTGGTGTTGTAGTCGTCGGATAAGTTCCTGTGTATGGACTAGGGGTACCAGCAATATCAAAATCCAAACCTATGATGGTGAAAAAGGGAGATGATTTTAAATGTCTTTAACAGTCTAAAATTCAAATCTGGTAAGGAAATAACAAATATTGAAAAAAATATTTTCACATAAATTTGAGTCTCATTATCATGCTGTAAGCTCAACTTCTTTACAATTTTTTTTTTCAGTTGTTATTTCTCTTCCCCCTCCTCTCTCCAAATTGTTTAAAAATCTTGAACTCTTTGTTAACTTAACTTTTTAGGCAACAGAAGATTTCATGGCATATTGTTTGAGGGGAAGACATATAAAAATATAAGTTCAAGCAAATCTCAGTGAGTCAATAAACAAACACTTACCTGTTATCCTGCTTATCCAGGCTAGATCACTTGGAACACCCTGGTACATAGCTGGTAGGTACTCATGATAAACACAGCCTGTTGGACCACGAGAAGTCACCCCTAGAAGCTTCCAGTAACCCTTATCATCCTGACACACCAGGGGTCCCCCTGAGTCACCCTGTACAAGAATAATTACCAAAAAAAATTTACTATATATGGAGGAATAATGCACTGGAAGGATTTTTTATTGCTCAGAAAAGGGTGTGTATTATACACCAGTTTGGTTTTGGCCCCTTTTTCTGCTACGTAAAACCTGAATTTATTTGTTTCATACTGTAATTCATTTGACCCTTAGACGTTTAGAGTTGGATAGCAGTACTCAATATCCGTAATCATATTGAGTAGTTGTTTCAAAATGACCAGTAAATACAGTGTCATTAACAATGGTATCCTATCAGTATTAAATGAATATTCTATCTATATCTTAAATGAATCACTTCAGTGAATTCAATGAAAATCAATAGTTTCAAACATTACTGTAGATCACTAAATTTTCGTGACACCTAATTTTCGCGAGATAGTCATTGACTCTTGATTAGCGAGACAAAATTTTCACGAATTCTGGTTATTGCTCTATATAATCTTAAGGAATACTATTATGCGCGAGAATTTAATTTTCGCGAGCATACTGTCTCGCGTAATTACGCTAAAATAAAGTTCTCGCGAATAAAAAGTGATTTACAGTATTATCATGAAAAAGATCACGAAGTTTTTCTTAAACTTCTTTTGCTCTCATAAAAGAGTCAGATTTTATTATTTAGTCTATTAATAGTCCCTATTAATCTATATAAATGTAAATGGTTCGTAGCACTACATATTCACTGGATTTAAAACTGTATTCACTGGGGGTCAGTGTGCATTCCGCGACCTTTTGACATCACAATCTTTCAATGGAGAATATGGTTTGTTACTCACCAGAAAAATATCAATATTGACTGAGGCAAACAAAAGATATTCATCATCAAAAAAGTCCATAATTTACAATATGATAAAATTTATCAAAATGAAAACAGCTTTCATGCAACTCATCAGAAGGTTAGGCAATGTCTGACTGTTTAACTCATTGGTGGCTACACTACACTTCTAGATGGACAGAAGGATAACTTATGACAGGATTAAAAGGTCACATCATATCGTGGACATACTTTTAAGAGTGCTGCACTTAGATTTTGTAGAGGAAGAACCCTGGGTCAAGGTCAAGCTGAAGAACACTATTTAACACACTCAACATTCTCTAGCATTATTGAGATCTGACCCAGATCCTTTACTTATACCACCACTTACATTACACACTGGTGTCACTATGGAGACCTGACTAAGTTAGTCCTCCCTATCACTTACATTACACACTGGTGTCACTATAGAGACCTGACTAAGTTAGTCCTCCCTACCACTTACATTACACACTGGTGTCACTATAGAGACTTGACAAAGTTAGTCCTCCCTATCACTTACATTACACACAGGTGTCACTATTGAGACCTGACTAAGTTAGTCCTCCTCACCATTACATTACACACTGGTAGCTCTATGGAGACCTGACTAAGTAAGTCCTGCCTACCACTTACATTACACACGGGTGTCACTATCCAGGCCCCAGGATCACGAAACAAACTTAGACTTAAGTCAAATTTTTAATTGCCTGTAAAATATTCATTAATTATGGAATTCATTTAGAAATTTGCAGATAACAATGCTTCTAAGAAGCAATATTGAAAAAAAAATTATTTGATCAGCTTGACTTCTACAACATTTTATAAACAAACAGATATTTTGACTTATGCTTATGATGTTTCATGATCCCGGGGCCAGATCTGACTAAGTTAGTCCTCCCTATCACTTACATTACACACTGGTGTCACTATTGAGACCTGACTAAGTTAGTCATCCCTATCACTTACATTACACACTGATGTCATGGAGACTTGACTAAGTTATTCCTCACTACCACTTACATTACACACTGGAGAGAATGGTTCTCTGTTATCCACACAGACGACCGAGTCCTGGATCACTACATCAGTAGAGACCCTGGCCCACATCTTACGACACTCCGTGTTATTTACTACCAATACACCTGTCTCTTGTAGAATCTCAGGTAACACCCCTATAAATAAAAAGAAATTGATGGTACACAGACTGTAATCTTGGAACATCTTGAAGGGTTCATCACAATGATCTATTAATGTATATAATTTCATTCATCAATTTATATCAGAAATCCAGAAAAATAAAGTCCCTTACTAGTTCCTCCCTCGTAATGAGATGCTCCCCATCCTGTGACAAAACAGTTACGTAATCCCTCTCTCTGTGTGGCTAGGCAGATTGGTCGGACTCTGTCGTTATAGTATATAGGCCGGGCCAGTCTGAGGAGGGCCATGTCAACATAATACGGAGAGGTGCTCGTGGTATAATCTTCATGTATGTAAACCTGAGCCACGTTTATCAACTGGCCATCAACAGCAAACGCAGTATTGTCAATATTTCCCATTCCTATCTCAAATCTAGAAAAGAAAACAGCATTCAGTCAAACATTTAAATAAGGCACAGTTGCCAAGGAAATGCAAATAAAAATTAATGAAGTTTTGATACCCTTTTTTTAAGGCTGGCAATGTAATTTTAAAGGACTTTGCTTTTTTTGGTCAGCAATGAAATGCTTATAATTTTGAAATCAAATCTTAACACTCATTCAAGGTAAAAAAAGAAGTCTTTTACAATGTTTACTAGTGACTCAATTTTACTTTTGATGTATAATGGCACTCCGCACATTTTTATTACAGTAGGCATTTTGATTATGTTAGTTTAACAAAATTAGTACCTCAGCGAGGCAATATTCATCAGCTATTACCAATTGAATGTTGCAGCTACTGACTTACCCTGAGCCAGAGTCTACACAGTGTGCAGCCGTCAGTATCCAGTCTGGGTGTATGATGCTGCCTCCACAGTTGTGTCGACCCAGGTACTTCAGGGATATCTGCCAGGGCCACTCCCCATTCTGTGCCGCTTTACCAGAGATTACCATATTCTCAGTCTGGGGAACCAAGCTTGGGACACCACATTCTGTTGGAGGCAAAAAAAAGGGTAATACTAGAGGTATTGTGAGCGATGAGCTCACTAAATGATACCCCCCGCCTCCCATATGGTTATAACTGGTGAAAAAGTTCATGTTTTCCTGTGGCCGGGAAACCCAAAATATGTGTCGAATCAAAAAGTAAAATAGGAGGTGCACAATGGCAATATGTAATAAAGATTCTGTGAAAGTTTCATCAAATTTCATTCAGTGGTATGAGAGGAGTTGCGGATAAGAGATGGGTACCCCAAAGCGTAACAGACGGACGGACGGACGGACGGAATTAACGATTACTATATACCCTCCCGCTTTTCAAGCGGGGGGTATAAAAATCAATCAATGAGTCGATAAACTCCAAAATTGTTTATTTACATATTAGAATGCCACACCATGAATATCACCTTGGATGTTACTGAATAAAAAATCTTGCAATATGACCAACAAGGATATCGATAGATTAAAGGCAAAAAACTTACCAATGGATCTGCAACTCAGCATCAGTGCATTACATGCATACCTATTAAAGATATAGCATACTAAAGATAAAATACAATAAACATCAACACAGAACATGCATACTAATTTATGAAGTGACAACTCAAGCATGATAAAATGACTTTGAATACCGAGATACATCAAAGGTGATTAAAATGTGTTTTATTTCAAATGCTTCAGCTAATGGCAAGAAGCTTCTATCTTAGGGATACCTCCAAGTCAGAATCTCACTCAGAAATACAATGATACAGCATGAGAGCTTTTACTATGTTCCCCAAACGAAGTTGGGGAACATATTGTTTTTACTCTGTTTCTTATTATTGTTATTATTATTCCTGGGAAAATTTTGTCCTTGAGTGATCTTGTAAACTACACATCCGACTAAGGTAAAATGTTTTTAGGGTCAGTAGACATGTTATGTAGATTTGCCGAACGAAGGTAATTTTGCGCGCACGTGCTTGCAAGAGCTCGCACGTGCAACATGTAAAATGACCGATTTAATTGATATAGGCGTAACTTTTTAAATTTTTGATGAAATGCTTTGAAACTCATAATGTAAGGATATATTAGTAATATAGACAATATGATATGGTCAAAATAGCAAGATCTCACGCGCATGCACGTGCGCTTTGCTCTGATTGGCTGAAACTAAAGTCTCAATATCTTTCTTGTTTTTTGAGGAGATCCTTTGAAATTTTGAACATAGCCATGCATTAGGATATCCTACAACATGACATATAGAAATTATCATGAAAACACGTGCATGCACGTGCCCTGCAATCTGATTGGCTGAAACTTTAAATAGCTATAACTCCCTTGATTTTCAACCAAACAGGATGGGATTTGGAACATAGATATATAAAATGGACTTTAAAAAATAGGTATGGTCACCATGCACATGCATACACGTTCGTGTACGTGTGCTGCAATCTGATTGGCTGAAACTTTAAAAAGCTATAACTCCCTTGGTTTTCAACCAAACAGGATGGGATTTGGAACATAGATATATAAAATGGACTTCTACAATAAGGTATGGTCACCATGCACATGCATACACGTGCGTGTACGTGAGCTGCAATCTGATTGGCTGAAACTTTAAACAGTTATAACTTCCTTGGTTTTCATCCAAACAGGATGGGATTTGGAACATAGATATATATAATGGACATCTACAAGAAGGTATGGTCTCCATGCACATGCATACATGTGCGTGTACGTACGCTGCAATCTGATTGGCTGAAACTTTAAACAGTTTTAACTCCCTTGGTTTTCAACCAAACGGGATGGGATTTAGAACATAGATAGATTTAATGAACTTCTACAAGAAGGTATGGTCACCATGCTCATGTATGCACGTGCGTGCACGTGAAATGGGTAAAATCAAAAATACACTTGAATGAGCAAATTTTTTAATACTTTTGGATTAAATACTTTAATATTTAGTATATTAAAATATATAGATTGTGTAGACAAGAAGATATGGTCATTACGTATATGCCTTCACATGTGCACACATGCAATGCTAAAATTTGAATGAGCATGGTATATTTCTGGGTAAACATTGTTAAAATTTCAAATGCATAGAGTTTGTGTTAATAAATGAAGCTTACAGGGAATATGGCACCAAAAGGGAGTTGGGGAGCGTTTGGGGAACATCTGTAACGGTCCCCGTTACAATTAGCACTAGTTTTATATGCTTTATAAGTTTTATAAGTTTGAGACATAAAGCCTGCATTTTTCTGTCATTCCTTACCTGGCCTGCAGGACATGATTTGGAATAATATTATTGGGACTGTGTATCGGCAGGGCCTGGTAACCTCCCAGTATATAGCTCCCAGACCGGAAGTTATATAATGTGCTACAACAGAAGAAAAAATTCTGTTTAACATTCTGCTGATATTTAAAGGGGGAAAAAACTTGAATTTTTCTCATTCTAATGATATCAAAAGAATCAGCTGTCTTGAAATTACTTTTTGAAGAAAATTTGTCTTCCGAAGGAAAATTAACTGATACCTTAAAAATTTGGAAGAGATTCTTTGTTACATAAATAAATTATTTCAAAACAAATGTCATTCAGAGTCAAAACATAAATGCTCATGAAAATGTAGTAACTAGCAACTGTTCCATTATTTGACTCAAAAATTAAGATTCTTGCAGCTGCAATATCTCTATTTACAACAGATTGTGTAGAATTTTTTACATACCCTCCTCCTGAGATGCTACATAGATACTGAGCTGTTTCTACGGTGATGAAATCTACACACAGGGTCCTCCAAGAGTTATCTTTCCATGCCTGCATCATTCCTGCACTTAAACTTCCAGAAGCTGGCCGAACTAAAAAAAAAAGACACTTTCTTCTATATAATGCTTTTGTTTAATATATATCATACCGAAAAAATTATTTGTCAAAAGAAAATTCAGAATCTTTAAGATTAGGCTGAACTATGTATCTTTAAAAAAAATTGGTTGCCCACTTCCGACCGACTGGCTAAAAATGAAGCAAAACCTTTTTTTAACCTTTTGGAGGCATTTTTTTTTTTTTTATGTATTCTGGAAAATTTATTTTAAAAATTTAGCATTTAAAAAGAAATTTTCTATAAAAAAATTCTAAACTACCGATCTACTAAATTTTTCATCTTAAGTGGGGAGAGGGTTACAAACAAACATTATTTTATAGTTGAACTTATAAAGATCTCTTGATTTTTTTTTTCACCTACCACATCTGAATTCATCTGAGCCATCTGAGCACTGTTTCAGATTATCACATCGCTGAGACAATGGAACACAGTCATGGTTTCTACATTCAAATTCATCTGCTTTACAATTACCTGTAAAATTCAATTTCTTTATTGATTCACCAAACATGTTGGCATACAACCATGTTACATACAAAAGACAAATAATAAAATACATACATACATGTCAGTGTATGGATCAGTGAAGTCAACTATGCAGTGTATTACAACTTGAAGATTAAACATAATCATTATGGAAGGAGTATAGTATGGACAGTGATGAGCTAATAAATGCATTAAATATACGAGGGTTGTCCCGTAAAATCGTGGACAAGTTGTCTAGTTTGAAAAATAATCATCACTGCGTTCTGATATTTTCACCACTTTTTAGTAGATAAATTATGAATATACATAGCAAATTTCAAATAGATATATGCATAGGTAAACAAATTGCGATAATTTATGTTATGTACTGTATCGCCCTATGGCGCACGGATGATAACGTCAAAGTGTCTAAAACAGCGTCACGTTTCATCCTTGCTAAACTAAAAGTTGGATAAGCCCCGCTTAAATTTAGAAATTTTATTGATTTACATATATGAGTATCTATAAGCAGTTAAGAAACCAATGTGGCACACTCATGCGATCTTCAGAATATCTATTAGCAAGTTACAGTCAGTATTCTTACCATCATTCAACTAAAAGAGAATCTCACATCGACGGTCGACAGTGACAGCGTCCTTTGCTATTACAAATGGCAGTCTGTCCATATGTTTTGTACTATCTGGGGACTCGACCACGAAGACTTCACTAAGAAAACTTTCATTTCATTTATATACTAAAAATCTGGTGATATTTTTAATATTTTCTTTCTTCCGTATTCCTTTAAAGTCTCTTACGGCGTCATTACAACATCCTAATCTATCTGAACTGCTCTCCGGTGCGCCGTAACGTCATAAAAAGTCGCCATTTTTCGTGTATTGTGTTTATTACTTTCCCATTTCAATTGCTCGGAAACTGCCAAAAATTAACCGAATGCCTTGAAATTTTTAAAAATACGACAGAATTGATTAAGGAATTGAATTAGGATAATTTTCATCCTAATCTTATGAATTGAAAACTTTTATTACGAATTAATTCTTATGTCTTCTCTAATATAAACATGCTATTTTTACCGTGCGCCGTAGAACCATACCTTGTGCACATTCAAGCAGAATAAAATCTTTATTTTTGCATATATATTATCAAAAACATTATGATTCACTTAAATATGATGAATAAACATTTACTGAAAATTTCAGCTTAGTGCGCCCATTACTTTTCGACAAAAACGCTTTGTCCACGATTTTATGGGACAACCCTCGTATATATCATAATTGCACTGTATTTTTGGAACACAATTCAAAACATTCATATAAAAATTCACATAGCCTTCTAGTATGAACTACATTGTCAGGATTACAAAATACTTTACAATGATTTTCTTTAAACAAAATTACTGAAATTCAAATCATAATCTCATAATGGTCATGTCATTTGTCCTTTTGAAAATTCTCTTTCCATGTATTCCCATTTACATTTGCTTTTACGAGGGTTGTCCAAAAAGTTCGTGGACAATGACGTTTTTGTTAAAATAAATGGTTCTATATAAATCTATTGTATTTCAAAATATTTCTCATGAAAAACCAAGTCAGAATGATTCAATTTTTATTTATGGAACTTAAATATTTTTGTAAAAATCGGGGTCTTTAAAGATCGCAGATAGAGCGCACAGACCAAGGTTAAAATACCATAAAATATTATATAAAGATTGGATTAAAATGATTTTTTTCGATATTAAACAAGTCAAAACTTAATGAAAATTATATGTAACATAAATAAAGAAGCTATAATCGTTTTCTGATATCTAAAGTATCGCTTACTATTGCCAGCATTTTTTTATTTTTAGGTTTACAAACCCGCCGCTCAAGTTTTTGAATTTTCAGAAAAAAAAATAAAATTGAGAAAAACAGAATTTTTTCTTTCCGATGTCAAATTTGAGTCGGGATCGAGATTTCAAATTTACGAACTCGTACTTCCGGTTTTAAAAATGAAGGGAGATTTGTGTCAAGTCCATAGCAGCACTTAAGCTTGGTTTAATGTAAATATTTATCGATAGAAGTGCTATTCGAAACGTTTCACCCGTTCAGAGAACAATAAAATGCTGACAACTTTGTTGCAAAGTGACATGTTGGTGAGATAATTATGTATCCGTATTCAAAAGTAACTGTCTGTAATTGTAAATTATTTTCCTCCCACAGGTTTAAAACTGCCCATGGTAGCTATTGTCAGAGACATTGTTTAGGTTTCTGTCATAGCTTACAGTCTTAGCATCATTCTTCAGAAAAGGGTCGCTTATGCATCAGATGTAATGAATAAAACTATGGGAGAAGTTGAGTCCATTTGAGGAAGAAATAAACAATAGCCTAAAGAAATAAAATATTTCAACTATTTAAAAACAAGAATATACAAATATATACAGGCATGTAGTATCATTTATGGCAGCCAGAAAAATTATTTTACACTTATTAAATTGAAAAAAATTCCACCTTACTCCTCAATACTCCTTGGGAATACTCCCTGTCTGTTTTATGAAAGGAATTATTATTTTTATAGGTCTCAAGTATATTGATATTTTAGAATAATTTCTACCTAACACACATTAAAAACAAATATGAAGATATATTAAAAGAGATTTAAAAAATTGATTTTTAAAAAAAATCTGTATTTTGTCTAACATCAAAAGATTTATATCACTGCCCCCAACTGATAGATGATGGAATAAACAATTAAAGGTTGTATTTTCCCATTTGTAACCCTTATGTGTCCAGTGGCAAGAAGGTTGTTAGGAAAGCATAAAAAAGAAGCAAAAATTAATGTAGAAAAGTTGATAATGTATCCAAAATATATATATATTTTTTTTTTATTTCCTCCTCCTACGGGACTTTTTCATTCTGATGTTCGTAAACCTAAAAATAAAAAAGTGCTGGCCTATATAGACATTGAAAATACTAAACAAAAACCTAAGAAATATGTGTAAAAACTCGACAGAAAAAGCGACGTCGGCCGTCCGAATGGGGCAGCGTCCAATCAAAAAATATGTTCCATACGGTTGAAACGAAGTAAGAGACAAACTTTTTGATAAAACAACTTAGAATTATTGAAAAATATTTAGTTTATTAATTTGAAATTGGTATATACGATTTTTCAATGGTGTGTACAAATTCAAAGACACTAAAAGAATTTAAAAACACATGCAATTTGCTGAAAATGGAGATTTTATTCACAACATTGTTATAAATCTAGCGCAGTGTACGACTGGGCTGTGCAGTTTGTGTATACAAACTGTTTATGTTGATGGCGCTCGTATTTTTTGTGAATTATTTTAATTTTAAAATTCAAATAGATTATTGATAGCACTTGGGAGTGTGTCGCCATAAAAAAAAGAAATGTAGTGTGTGTCCATGAACATGTGTTAAAATTCAAAATCCAAATGTTGACGTTATTATGAAATTAGATTGACGTCAGACTGGTCCGTGCGCTCTATCAGCAACCTCTAAAGACCCCGATTTTTGACAAAAATACTAAGTTCCATCGATAAAAGCTAAATCATTCTGACTTGCTTTTTCATAAGAAATATTTTGATATACAATAGATATATGAAGAATCATTTATTTTAACAACAAGAGGCCCAAGGGCCTTGAATCGCTCTTCTGATAAATTGTACAATCTATCACTTCTATTAGAAGCCTCCAACTCTGTTAGTATCATAAGACCCAAAATGCATCAACTTACAAAGTTTGATAATATTTAGCCAGTTAAGACTGAAGATATTATAATATAATTATAAAATACCATAAGTAGGTCACAGTGACGTACCTTTTGATTGAAATTTTCTGAGGACTCAAGATACATTAATTGACAAAGACTGATGATTCTAATTAAATAAGTACCTGAGATATTCAAAAGTAGGTCACCATGACATACTTTTTGGTCAACATTCTCTGAAAACCCAAGATGCATCAACTGACAAAGTTTGACTATTCTAAGCCAATTAGTAACAGAGATAATTAAATATAGCCATCAAATGTCAAAAGTAGGTCACGGTGACCTACTTTTTGGTTGATGTTATCCAAACACCCAAGATACCTAAACTGACAAAATTTGATGATTCTAAGCCATTAAGTACCTGAGATATTCAAAAGTAGGTCAGCATGACCTACTTCTTGTTGGACATTTAATGAAACCCTAAGATGTCTCAACTGACAAAGTTTGATGATTCCGAGCCAATAAGTATCGGATATAATTAAATATAGCCATGAAATGTCAAAAGTAGGTCACAGTGACCTACTTTTTGGTCGATGTTCTCCAAAAACCCAAGGTGCCTGAACTGACAAAGTTTGATGATTCTAAGCTAATACTTACCTGAGATATTCAAAAGTAGGTCACCGTGACCTACTTTTTGGTCGACATTCTCCAAAAACCCAAGATGCCTCAACTGACAAAGTTTGATGATTCTTAGCCAACAAGTGCCTGAGATACTTAAATATAGCCAAAAAATGTCAAAAGTAGGTCACTGTGACCTACTTTTGGGTTGACAATCTCCGAAAACCCAAGATGCATCAACTCACAAAGTTTGATGATTCTAAGCCTATAAGTACCGGAAATACTTAAATAAAGCCATAAAATGTCAAAAGTAGGTCACCTTGACCTACTTTTTGGTCGTCACTCTCCGAAAACCAAATATGCATCGACTCACAAAGTTTGATGATTCTAAGCCAATAAATACCTAAGATACTTAAATATAGCCAAAAAATGTCGGAAAAAGGTCATCGTGACCTACATTTTGGTCGACATTTTTCATAGACCTAGGATGAATCTACTGACCAAGTTTGATGATTGTAGGTCTGAAGGTAATCAAAATATGCGTTTTAAACAATTTGAAAACAAATATCGACAAAATTCAAAAAGTAGGTCCCAAGATGCATCAAAGTACAAGATTTGATGATTCTAAACCTCCCAGTGTCTGAAATAATGGGATTTAACGTTTTAAA